AGCAAATCGAGCTTGTTTGTGTGATTTTGGTGAAATCCAAAGCGTAGACCGACCGGTTAGAGGTCAGACCTTCCGGTCTAGGGTTGCAGAAGAAATCCCGAAATTCTGAGGTTGAAGATGACGTCCGGACCGACCGGTCCAGAGGCTGGACCGATCGGTCTAGACCGAAATTAGACCGAGACAAAAAATTACGTAGTCTAGACCGATCGGTCTGGACGAAAAAATCAGTCCGGTCGGTCTGAGGTCAGACCAACCCGAAAAAAAAGAGAGTAGCGGAACCTAGAAAATTCAACACGTAGAAAATTGAAAAATTTAACAAGACGGACCTAGTATTACCCCAGCTCAAATTTTGAAAAAGTGAAAAATATAAAATATACCAGAAATACGGGCCAGACCGGACCCCACATAGTCTGGACCCAAAATGAATAACAGGTGAGGTTAAAACTACGGAATGAACCGAATTGATTATCCGGGCGGACGGGGACCAACTAAGTCATACCGGAGGTACAATTCGGTAATATCGATGAAAAGACTGAAAGAAAATATATAATTAAATATAAAAGACTACACAAACGTAAATGCATGTATAGTAAATAAACTATATAAATGCGTGCGACTGGGGTAGCTGACATGACACTAGCGTTAATTCGGAAGAGTTCGGATTAACGTTTAGCGCGTGATTGTAGAAACGGGCGTTTGTGAATGAATGCACGATGATTGCGAGATTGCGTCCCATCTATGAGCCATCCGATCCGGGTCGGTTGCCACCCATATGGGATATGATTGTGAATGTGGCGATGATACGGTCGCGCCAACGTCCGAACGATCGGACGGTTATGGGCACCCCGATGACTTGCGTGGATAGCCGATTGTAGTGGTACTATTGCGGGACGAGGAACACACGGTTCTTGGAACCGCGCCAACGTTTCCGCTAGCGACGGAGCGGACCCCGGGATATGAGTATCTCGAGGAACAGGGCATCATATACCTGAGATTCGGGTAGATTGGGGTCTCCCGAGGAGGTGGTACAGACTTACTCTGCCAGGTTTGGACCCGAACTTGACAAGTATTTCTGCGGGGATGGTCGGCGAGGGAGAGTTGCAGCGATGGGCTCTCTCGTTATAGTCGATGGCGTCGGTTGTAGACGGCGTCTGGTGAGCTCCGGTATTGAGAGGTGACATCAATGCCGGAGTCGGGTGACACGCCTAGTATCGAGAGGTGACATCGATACTAGGATGGGGTGATGTGTTCGGACGGAGAAAAATAAACAGATACTTATGCCGGATTCCGAGTGGTTGCGGAGTAGATGGATTCCGAGGAGAGAGGTGGTTGTGCTATGCACATGGGGAGTACATTATCTACGCATGGTGCGCGTAGAGACGATTTGACGGACTCTGTCCTGCAACTTATCGTACGGACTTGATTGTGATTGTTGCATGCTTACTGTGACTTCCATGTTTTCAATTCCTGTTTATTAGAATACTAGTATATATATATATATATATGAATGTGCTTTCCCTGGCACCATGAGAATGAAACTCCGGGTTACGCCCGAGTTCACTCTCTAAGCAATTAGCTTAGGACGTTGTTACGCAACGTTTCAGGTCGTGAGCAGCAGTAGCCGAGGAGCGGACATCGGAGACCTGGGCAGTGCACATCTACCTATCATGTATAATTACGTATTTTGATACATTTATAACTGGGAAACGGTTTGTATTATCGGTGGTAGATTTTCGCGGTTTGTAATAATTTTATCACTACCACTCGGTTATGTATAATTATAACTGCGAATAATGTATCATATATGTATATACGAGTGTTTTCTTCCGCTAACTCTGAAAAGAAAAGTTTTAAGTTCCCGCGGATTTTTTGAAATGTGATTTTATTTTACTTGTCCATGTGACGCAACTCATATTGCGGGATGCGGGTTTCGGGCGTTACAGTTTTGACTGCTAGAGCTGAACACGTGTCGTACATTTAAAAAATTCTGGGTATTTAGATTTGGGTTCGAAAGGTTCGGATATCTCATTTTAAGATTTGTATCTGGATTCTGAGTTTTACAACTATTAAGAATACTGAATATCCGGAACAATATCTGAATATTTGTGAATATTTAGATCCGGATTTATTTAATAAAAAACAATAATATTTATGTAAATTTTTAAAGAAATGAAAGATATATTTATAAAGATGAATGAATCCTGGTAAAAATATGAGACAATGAGAGAGGTGATGACATATAAATAATAATAAATTTAGTTTTTTTAGACAATGTTGAAGAATAAGAAATTATGTAATCAAAAATAATTATATTTATGAAAATATTATAAATATATAGTGTATAAATTATTTATAATAAATCTATTCAAATATTTGTGGATATCCATTTAAAAAAAACTATTAACCTGATTCAGATTTAGATTTGCAGGAATTCACATATTCAAACCCTGTCCTGGGAATGGAGTAAACCTTTAGACTAGTTCTTTACCGCTTCGTGCACTAGGGACGAATAAAGATTAGATTGAATGTATAAGACTTAAATATGTCGGTTCATAGTTGAACGTTGTTCAATACACCTCATGGTATATCAAAAAAAAAATGGTTAGGCAATATCTTATCCTTTACAAAACGTCGTTGCTTACTCGGATTTAGGATTTCATACCCTAAAAAAACCCTTCTTTTCATCATAAAGTTCATAATTTTATTCAAATCATATTCTATTTCTGATTATTTTCGATGATATTTGGTCCGACCGATAATTGTTTTTCATAATGTGGGATGAATTTTGCGAGATTCCAAGAAATTCTTCCACTTGGGTTCGCAAGAAGAGATGTAACGAAGGAAAGTGGCAAAATCGGTGGCCATATAGCGGGGCGGATTACAGTGGCCGACGAGCTTAGGCCACGGCCTCACCGTTGAAGTCATCGGGAAACTGTGAAGCGAAGCCACCGATATCCGAGGCTTTGATGAATTTACCAAAACCCTATGGACCACACTCTTGTACCTCCCGTTGCTGAATATCTACACCAAATTATTGAAAAATGTTCAAACATAAGTCATAAGCACTATGATGAATTGTAAGAATCAGAAACGTAAACTAAAGATTGATTCGATGAAAAATCATTTTTATTATATATGATGCCAAAAAAATCATATACACACACACACAATATATATATATGGGTTTGTAGATGACCTGATATGCCTTGGTAAATATGTAACTTCAGCTGCGATGTTTTAGCATGTGTAATAAGAGAGATGGAAAAGTGTTCCATGTATTTATTTTAATAATTATTATTATTATGACTTTTTATTGTAGTTTACTATTAGACTAATTTTTTTAATAAAAATGAGTATTTAGTTTAATACAATAACTGTTACTATTTATAGTACTATTGACAAACATTTTTATAAAATAGTATTGAATTTGACAATATCATTGTTTTTCTAATATTTCTATTAAAATAAAATTTAATAGTTTAAAAATTAAATTATTTATCATTAATTATAGAGTCTAAAATTTTTATATAATTATGGAAAAAAGAAATAAATAACCTCGAGATGATCGCCGACGTTGACCACAAAAGATCCCGGAATCGGGTCAACGGTGACCCAATCGCCGTCGCCGGAGAGAATCTGAAGGCCTTCGACGTCGTCTTGAAGCAAAAGAGTCAAGAAACCATAGTCAGAGTGAGGTGGCATCCCTAACGTCAGCTCCGGCTCCGGACACGGCGGATAACAATTCACCACCACCAACTGGCTCCCTTCCTCCAACTCCTCCGCCGCCTCATCTCCATCGCCGTAGAAATTTCCCGGCGAATCTCCGGCGTCCGTACGGTGGAGACTCTCCAGGATTGCTCTGACGATCATGTGGAACAAGTGCTTGGTCTCTTTCGCGTAGGTAGCCGCCAAACTCCTGTTTCATTTATATTTTTAATTATTATTTAGAAAATGCAAATTAAAAATTTTAATTTAATTTAAAATTGGTTTTAATGATTATTGCGTTGATGTGAAATAATATATTCGATTGATTAGTTGAATTCTTTTTGAATAACGTGACTGGTAGACCGTGTGTGACCATATATTATAATATGATTTGTGTAAATCCGACTCTTTCTTTATTATTTATTTCATTATTGGTAACACCTAAGCTATAACCTATAGCTCTACCCACTCAGCTCATATGGGCCGCCATACACATGCACAAATTTATTATTCTTAATATGTTTTTAATTTGTACAAAATTTTGTTTATTTTTGTAAATGATAGTATGGTTAAAAACTTTATAAAGATTTCGTTCATGATTCACAGAATCTCTTTATCTTAAAATAACATAAAAGAAAAGTTTGATGAATTTATTTAGACCCAAAATTCACAAGGATTTGTTTCAGATGCAAAGAATCTGTTTAGATATATGAAAGAAAATTAAAATAATAAAAGAATGCATTGAAGATTTTGACCTGAAATCGGAAGGAGAAGAAGGCCAATGAGGAAGATAGTCAGGCAAAGGATGAGACAAGAGCTTCAAGAAATCTCTCCAAGAGAAAACATTGTCTTTATTCTGATTGACACTCGTTCCGTAACGTACGGGCGCCGACATGTCCGACGACATGTACTTGGATCTCGCCTCGTACGGAAGCTCGAAGAATCTCTTACACACATCTATCATGTTCTTGCTTATATCTCCCTCAATCCCATGATTCACCACCTGCAAAATATGTATATATGCCCCCTCGGTTATTCTTGTGCATATATAGGCCAATATCTATATATATATACACAAACCGTAGATTGTGGATTCTCTCGTTGTAATTCAAAGCATATAGCTGGTTCTCGACCCCGCGATTAGTCTGGGTCTTGGTTGAGGATACCCGGTTACCAAAACAATATTGGGAATTATAGATGGAGAATTCACCTGGAAGAAACCGTAGGTTTCGCAGGCATTGGCTAGGGTTTGTAGGACTTGTGGGCGGTTCGGACCGAGCAATTCGACGAAATCTATGACGGGGAGCTTCAGATTTTGTTTGCGTTTGATCTTGTCGGAATTTCGGAAGATGGGTCGGTCGGGTTCGGGCAATATGTACTTTGTCGGCACTTTCGTTAAGCCTTTGTCACAAAGATATTTCACTCCTCTTTGATACTTGTCGTTCCCTTCCTCGGCCTCAGACATAATAGACGGTGACATTTTTTTTTTATGTTACAGACAACACAACGTATAGGCTCCTGCAAATAAATGTGTCGCCGGGGTGGCATTTGTACGTACAGACGATTAGAAACACGGTTGTTTTCAGACAAAATCGAGGAATTTGAAGGTGAAAGCGTCGTTTAGATCAAATATCCATGCATTACGAATGCACGAGATCGAATTGACACTAAGACACACATATATACCTGATGGATTGATCTCCGTTCTTGAAGAAACACGAATCTATATATATATACGTATGTATGTATTGAGAGATGAATAGAACAAGAGTTTGATGATCGAATGTGTGGTTTCGGGTGGTGTGCGTCTTATGTATTTATACGTGCGCGTGTGGAAGAGAGGTTGAAATCATGAGAAATGGTTTTTTTTTTTTAAAAAAAAAAAGAGAAAAACCAGCTTTGGTATTTCCTTTTGAGGTCAAATTCCCCGGGATTGACTTGTTCTAATTTCATGTCCAGACGAAAACCGTTGACATATTATCATATTATTAATTCCATTTATTATATATATGTGTGTATATATGGGTATGTCCATATTTGTGTGTATGTTCGTGTATGAAAAATCCAACCACGAGGTGGTAGGGTCATCCAAAATTTAATATATGGAGAGAGAGAGAGAGAGAGAGAGAGAGAGAGAGAGAGAGAGAGAGAGAGAGGGTAAAAATAGGGTTATCTTCCTAACCTTTAGTCGAGTTGTTTGACGTATAAAACTTTTGTGGTTATACGTGGACTTCGCTATCTACACTATTTTCTTCCCCCCTTTTTTTCATTTCTAGACGGTAAAAAAAATATTAAAACTCTTAGAGGTGAGACTTCTGCTACAGAAATCACAACTCTGATATCAAATTTAGTTTGAACTTTGAAGAATTAAAAGATGAAGTTTGAAAAAATTTGGACGTAAATGGAAAACTAACAAGTTCTATTCAATTGAGAAAAATAGTCAAGTACAACTCATGTATTGTTGGAATTGCACTCAACACATAGATAAAACTCCCCCTGAATTTCTTTCTCTCTCACAATGAATTCTACTGATAAAAAAATTTCACAATATAAATCACTCACCCGAGAAAAAAAGATTTGTCCAATCGATTCTCCCCTCAAACTTATACTTACCAAATAGTGAGAAATCACCCACCAAACAAAAACTCTCTTTTTTCTAAAAATATGTTCTTTCTCTTTGTAGAGTTGATATACACTTGTATCTCCTTATATAGGTCCTCTTGTTCGCTTTGGATCTCTACAAATTGATCTGATAGATTTTTCCTTAATTTTCTCTGATTTCACCTTTAGTTTTTGACTTTATTTATTCAAGTCTTTAACTCTATTTGAAACTCTTCAGACGTATCTTAGAAATTTTCGAACTCTATCTCTCCAGATTTTTCTCAGGAATCTCTCAAGTTTGTTGGAGTTGCAATAACCACTTAGCAACCAAAACAAACCGTGCAAATAATTCCACTAACAGAGTCTTAAAAAAAATGTAACATTTATATAATTTCTACCGAATCAAATTATAATAAATAAAACTAAATCTACCTAATACTCTTTAATATTAATTAGCGGGTAAAACAAATAAAGAAATGTGAAGTCAAATTAACATATATTTAAATGGGGAAACGAGGATCTGATATAAATCAAAAGAGGAATTAACTTGGAGTAAGAGATATTCAAAAGAGGTAAATAAAATACAAATTTCAGGTTTGGAGGTCATATGGGTCTATTGAACCAAATTAATTGACATCTTATTAGCTGTGATGGATTTCAAAGTGCATTCGTTTATGCTGGAAAATTTATCTAATCTATATTCTAACCATATATACATATATATATTTCTCCCACTACTAATCCAAACGAAATATTTATTAATATTCATCTGATATTTACATATGTATGTTCCAAAAAGAGATATTTTTTAATAAAAAGAAAAAAGAAACCGTGGCCGCCATGCATATCTTATCGATCACGTGCTTCAATGGACCTGGTTGATATTCATTTCCAGTCAATCACACATTTTACACTTTCAGCCACACGGTCACGATATTGTATCTATGTCATTTTTATATAAAATGAATTGGGATGATATACAAGAAAATGTAGTATTCTCCATTTAAATTTGTCACATTTAGATGCATTTTTTTTATATTTGATTAGATATCCAAATTAAATAGAGGCATGTGAGGTAAAATTGAAATATGCTTAAAAAAAAATATGATGAAGATAACATTGTTTTAGTAACTATTATGTTTTTTTAATCTAGGTTTCTTTTGTTGCATTAGTAATAGTAAAAGCAAATTGCACATAATTTCATTAAATAATAATAATAATAATAATTAGAATAATTAATTATATTACTAATTATATAATTTCCTATAGATCATTATTTATGTGCACCTAAAATGGAATTTAAGCTTTGTGCTTCTATTATGAACATGTGGTGGAAACTTTTACCATTCCACAATATAACTCCCGACATATATATACTTGAATTTATAATTTCTGCTAGGTGTATTAATTGGTAGATCAAGTCAAATTCAAATATTTTCTTCCATTAAATTTTTATATTTTATAAGAATGAAATCTTTTGCAAATTTGATTACTTTTTATCATTATTTTTTTTTGTTTTTAAAATAATCATAATAATATTGTTTTCATTTAAGCAATAGATGAAGCTACTCCCGACTATCCAAATCGTAAAACTTCTAGAGCAGGAGATTCGTTCAATTATATATATATATATATATATATATATATTGACTTTTGCAGAGTTTGCAATTATAAAAATGTTGTAATAATTAATATGTTTAATTCTAGTAAGAGTCGTTAATTTTGCATTTATTTGTATTTTCTAATATAATTACCCTTTATAAAAAAAAGTCTTTAGTTGAGTGTTATATTTTTTTTTGGTACGTCACATATTGAACCGACCAGCCAATGGCTGCTTTGGTTACACGTAAGTTACGTCACGTCCATATACATAGCATGGAAACTTCAAAAAACTTTTATATATTGGTTCACGTAATCGCATGCATATATATATATATATATATATATATATAATTCGTTGAAGAAAATGATAATTATTTATGACAAATTGGCATCTCTCCTACGCTAAGGGCTATGGCTAGCTTGCCCTAAATAGTTACAATAATTTAATATTTATGTGTATTTTGAGTATTTATATAGTAAACCTACCACACTTTTCCTTAGTAGCCACAACTGGATATATTTATTATAATTTTTTCTCTCTGTCAAGCTAAGTAACAAATTTAGCATGTGTTATGACTAATCTCGTGAGGTATTAATTAAAAAGTTAACTTAATCCATGAATTCCAGCTGTTGACCACGAGGCCGAATGTAATTGAGATTAATGTGATATAACGTATTCGTTTAGATATTCATAATTTCACATATCCTATAAATATGTGTAAATATATGTATCCGATAAATAATATGATAAAAAAATAAAAAATAAAATTACAAAATAAATTCAAACTCAAATAAAATATATAATCAATTGAATACAAATGATATTCAAAATTCAAAGTTAATTCGTGTTTCATTCGATAGAATATATTTTCATCTGGAAAAATCTGTTTTCGTAGAGAAGATCTTTAAAATGAAGTTGTTTCGTTCGTAAGAACCTGTTTTCGTTTGAAAAATATTTCATAATAAAGTTCTTTTATCCGAAAAATATATATTCGGTCTTGAATCACTTTGAATAAAATAATATATTTTGTAAAGTTTTAAAGCAAAGGTATTTTTAGTATTTAATTAAAAATATATTAAGTAAATAAAAAAAATTGGTATACTTTTCAAAGGCCTCTTACTTTTTAGTAAGGGTGGGCACATATCGGATATCCGGAGTTTTTAAGATATCTGTATCCGTATCCGATTTGTACAAATACATAATTTTACTATTCGTATCTGATCCGTATATTTCGGATATTCGTTGTTTCAGATATCCGTAAAGAACCGCGGATATTTACAAATATCCGTATCCGAATTAAAATATGATAAAAATAAAAAATATACACACAAAAGAATCTATAAACACAAGAAAAGAAAACTCAAAAAAAATATTTTTTGAGTATTTTTATGGTACATTCCATCAAAACACACACAAAAAATCCAAAAAATAATTATTAGACAATTAGATTGCATGTTTACATAAATATTTCGTAAAACCTTGCAATAAGATTTTTTGTCAAATTATATTTATATATATAAATATATATAAATATGCAGATATGAGGTTTAGAGATATTACTCTTACAGGAAGATATATATATATATATATGAAATATAACAAAACCAGTGGAAGAGAATTTCTAGATCTGAAAAAAAAAATGAAAACTATCTAACGAGTAATCTCTATCTTTGATGAAAAATCTACTCATCTTAGAATGAAAATGAAGCAGATGCAGCTGAAGATCTTCCAAATGCAAGATGAAGAAAAGAAAAAAAAAAACAAGATGAAGATGACGAACGAGGGAATATTCATTTCCAGTCAATCACACATTTTACACTTTCAGCCACATGTTTTATTTATTTTAAAATGACCCCTTAAATATAAATTAATTACTAAATTATCCTATAATTTATAATATTACTAAAAGGTACGGATCAGATCGGATATATCGGATAATTCTATTTTGATATCCGTATCTGATCCGTTCCGACAAATATTTTGAATCTAATATCCGTATTCGATCCGTGAACTCCGGATATCCGAATTTTCGGTTCGGATACGAATCGGATAACGGATCGATTCGATTTTTTCGGATATTATGCCCACCCCTACTTTTTAGCATAATTTACCAAGAAACCTTTATTTTTTTGCATATATTTGTTTTTGTTGATTAACAATTTTTTAGCCATATATATATATATATATGAAATAAATTGTTCAAATTTAATAATATATATAACGGATCGAATACAAATTAAAAGGAGGATATAATTTTCTAAACTAAATTTATATTTTTTTTAAAATTCTAAGAAAGTTAAGGTTTAAATATGTATTTTTAATGAAAATTGAATCTACACAAAACAAATAAAATTTAAAATGATATAAAAGCGATTGTAAAGCCGAATAATCATAGTTCTTTTAAAAATAAAAAAAATATGAATACAAAGTAATCAAATGGAATCTCAAACTAAATCCAAAATATTCCCAAGGCGTGAAAAAAAAAACCGAATGCTACTTTTTTTTAGAGAGGATTACGAACATTCACGAGGAATGCAAGCTCGTCCACGAAGGAATTCCCGTATGCAAGTGTA